AATGTTAAAAGCTCCGCTGGTTATAATCTGGGTTTCATCATGATTCTGTCCAGTGAGAGTCTGGTCACGATTCAGTACAGTAAATCTGTTATCAACATTTTACCAAGAGGAAAACTACAGTGGAAAGAGAGAGAGGCTAAAAATGACTTGCGTCATGTCCAGATTCTTCTCCCCCGTCTTTTGAATTATAATATATGGGCCCGGTCAAGCAGAAGTAAACAGCAAGGACAAAAATTTAAGTTAATGCATCTGATATAAAAATGTATTGAACAGATACATACGTACTCTAGTTTATGAAACTGTTGACCTTTTTTCTGTATCATTTTTGGTTCTAAAGTTCCATACGTTTTAAACAGACCATGTATGAAACATGGAACAAAAATGTCTCTCTAACTGCCGCTGTTAGGTGCCTCATTCTGATCTTAAAAAGTTGGTTTGAACCTGCTCTATATGATTCTGGGTTTTTATTTCACTGTTTTGTCCCTTAATCACATTTTAAACATTAATAACAGACCAACCAAGCTCCTTCTTTCCCCACTATTGCTCCTTCTGGTGTTGGAAACAGGTTTAACTGTTGCTAAACACCTGTTCTTCCCTTAGTCCACTTCTTCAAAAATGTGCACTTATGGAGTCACTTTTCATTAGATGTCAGCCTGCTTCTGTGCTCCAAACTGATTTTAACCTGTCTTTGCAGGTGACCAGAGCCCAGCTGAGGGTCAGTGTCTGCTCCAGATGAAAGAAGAACGAGTGGAAGAGAAAGTCCAACAGGAATGGACCCCAGTGTACCCAGTGATTGTCTCTGTGAGGAGTGAAAAAGAGGAGATGTCAGTGAAAGAAGAGATGTCAGTGAAAGAGGAGATGTCAGTGAAAGAGGAGATGTCAGTGAAAGAGGAGGTGTCAGTGAAAGAGGAGATGTCAGTGAAAGAAGAGATGTCAGTGAAAGAGGAGATGTCAGTGAAAGAAGAGATGTCAGTGAAAGAAGAGATGTCAGTGAAAGAGGAGGTGTCAGTGAAAGAGGAGATGTCAGTGAAAGAAGAGATGTCAGTGAAAGAAGAGATGTCAGTGAAAGAGGAGGTGTCAGTGAAAGAGGAGATGTCAGTGAAAGAAGAGATGTCAGTGAAAGAGGAGAGCAGAGAGGACGGTGACGCAGCAGTAGCAGCTTTCACGTGTACAGTTTGTGCCAAGGATTTCAGACGAAAGTATTATCTACAACTACACATGAAGGCTCACAGCACCAAAAGACCATTCAGGTGCTCAGTTTGTACCAAGGACTTCACTCAAAAGTGTTATCTACATCTTCACCTGAGGAGTCACAGAGGACAGAGACTGAACAGGAGCCAGCGCTTACAGAGGGAACAGCAGTTTTCCTCTGACACGGACGACTCTGAAGACTGGACATCTGAAAGTCCCACTGCACAAGCACATTCTGAGCCCAGTGAACAGCTGCAGGAGCTGGCTCACAGAAACAATGGGAGAGGAGCAGGAGGCCCAGCCAAAGCTCATAAATGCTCTGAATGTGGGAAACAATTTCAGCACATGGGCATGTTTAAAAGCCACATGAAGACTCACCAAGCAGAGAGACCATTCAGCTGTTCAGTTTGTGCAAAGAATTTCACACACAACTATTATCTACAACTGCACATGAGGATTCACAAAATAAAGAGGTCATTCAGCTGTTCAGTATCTGCAAAGAATTTAAAAAGAAAGTCAAATACAACTGTACAACTTCACATGAGGACTCACAAGAAAGTGCAACCATTCAGGTGTACAGTTTGTGCAAAGACTTTCACTCAGAACTGTTACCTCCAACTGCACATGAAGTGTCACAAAAGAGAGCGGCCATTCAGGTGTTCAGTTTGCTCAAAGGACTTCACTCAAAAGTGTTACCTGCATCTTCACCTGAAAACTCACAGAGGACAGAGACTGAACAGGACTCCACAGAAGGACCAGGGGAAAGGCCGAAAAAATCCTAAAAGAAAGGTGAGGTCTGTCCTTCATGAAGCCAAGATGGAGGAGAGCCGTGAGGACAGTGAGCAAGAGGAGAGCAGCGAGGAAGACACTGATAAATCCTCCGACTCTGGAGACTGGAGGCCCGCTGCTCAGAGCCACTCCCCACACAGACGCTCTAAAGTGGGCTCTGGGACTGAAGCACGACCCCTGAAGTGCTCTCACTGTGGAAAGGGCTTTCCCACCATCAAACGACTGAGGAGACACGAGCTGCACCACCTGGAGGACAAACCCTTCAAATTTTCACTTTGTACCAAGAGTTTTCCGTCCATCAGTCGCCAACTGGAACACGCCAGAACCCACACAGGAGAGAAGCCCTTCAAATGCTCCGTCTGTGCGAAACACTTTTCAACAGAGAAACTACAAAAGCTGCACATGAGAGTTCACACAGGAGAGAGACCTTTCAGCTGTTCCATTTGTTCAAGGACTTATACACAAGCTCAGAGTCTAAAGATGCACCTGCTCACACAAAGAAGAGAAACCTTTCAAATGTACAGTTTGTGAAAAAGCTTTCACTGAAAAGAAAACTCTAAAACTGCACATGAGGATTCACACAGGGGAGAGACCACACAGGTGCTCAGTTTGTGCAAAGAATTTTGTTTTAATTAGCCACCTACGAAAACACATGTTTACCCACAGTGGGGAAAAGAAATATAAATGTTCAGTTTGTGCCAAATGTTTTAGAGCAAATGACTCTCTTAAAACTCACATGAGGGTTCACACAGGAGAAAGACCTTACAGGTGTTCGGTTTGTAACATGAGTTTCAGCCAGAACTGTATTCTAAAACAACATATGAAACAACACACAGGAGAGAGACCATTCAGCTGTACTGTCTGTTCAAAGACGTATGTGCGGCGGAGTCAGATGAGGAAACACATGAGGATTCACTCGGGACTAAAGTGTTCAGTTTGTGAAAAGGGTTTTGCTGAAAAGAAATCCCTGGAATACCACATGAACAGCCGTCACACAGGAGAGCGGCCGTTCCACTGCAGCGTCTGTGACAAGGACTTTGTGGCTGAGGGCTGGTTTAACACACACATGCGGATTCACACAAGAGAGAAACCCTTCAGCTGTTCAGTTTGTGCCACAACATTTAGAACGAGATGTAAATTAAAGAGACACATGAAAATCCACACAGGAGATGCACCATTCAGCTGTTTGATCTGTTTGAAGGAGTTTCAGTCGGAGCATGGTCTGAATGTTCACAAGAGCAATCACGCTGCAGACAAACCCTTCCACTGTGGGATCTGTGCTCAGAGCTTCTCCTCAAAGAGCGCTCTGATCATCCACCACAAAGTCCACAAAGGAGACCGGCTCTTCAGCTGTTCAGTCCGGCTACACAAAATGAAGGAGAGAGAAACCACTGGACATTCAGAGGAAACCAAACCAGAGGAAACCGAACGCTGATGGTGTAAATGTCCTGCTTTATGGCCCATTGAAAACCTCCTCATAACTGAAATAGCACCTGTCACACAAATGCCTCTGTCATACTGTACAAGTTTCACCTGTCAAGTGAACATTTTTTAGTTGATTAGTTAGTTGATTTTGGACCTTTTAATTTTTGCATAGAAGCTCCAATTATGGTTAAGGAGGCGTCTACCTTGTGACAGAGACACAATCAAAACTTTATATTTATGAAAAAACATTTCAAAAAGTAAAATTGTGCATATTTTAAAGTGCCTAAAACCCAAAAGATTTAATAAAGAATTCCACTTTGAATCTTTCAAAAATGTTCATCATCAGAATTGCTGCACAAAACATTGTAATTCAAAGAGGTTCTTTTGGGTTTTCAGTATTATGTCCAAATAAAGGTTCTTTCTGACAGACCAGTGTCTTTTACGTTTCTAATGCTGCATCCTTCTTCACAAGGTCCATATGATGTTACAGTGACGTGTTATTTACAGAGAGATGCCAAAATCTTTGTGACTCACTGAGCAAGAGACACTGAAGGACAGGGTCAAATGCAGGTTTAACCCAGAGACAGTGAAGACACATTTCACACATTTACAAGACAAAGTGTATCTTAACCTGAACCCTTTTCTGCTTCTGTATCTGTATCTTGTATCGTGCCTCAAATGTAATTGCAGCTCAGTCATTTTTTGGTGATGTAGTGAAGCGTGCGCAGTAATGTAAAACACAGTTTAATCATTACAATCACAAGGGTTTTTATGTTGATAAATAATATTCAAAGAAACTGTTGGGGGACTCAGAGTCCATGTCCAAGTTGTCAGTTTGAAAGAGTGTCCTGTCCTCTGAGTATGTGAAGCTGAAGGAGGAGCTGGAGCTGCGGGAGCTGAAGGACGTGGACAACAGGAGAGTTTAGAGGCTACGGACGCTCTGAGCACACAAGCCTGCGCCCAGCGGACCGCACACCATGAACAAGACGCCCTTGTGTCAAACGTGCAGCACAAGAGTGTCTTGGCACCAACAGAAGAGTTCAGGTTTTCTGGGAGCTTTGTAACTGTAACTGGTGAATGTTCTGAGGGAAGTGGATCCAGGACCTAAGGAACATGGTAAGTACCAGTGGTTGCAGGGTCACGTGTGAATAACCCACACTCAAAGTACAGAGTCCCACATTAAAGAAGAACCAGAGGAGATGAAGCTGGAGCCTGAGCTCCAAAAGGTCCTCAGTGTCTCTGTGAAGGACAAAGAGCTAAAGGACCGTGACATCACCGAACAGCTGCAGGAGCAAAGTGACAACTGGAGCCAAACTGGTGGAACTCAAACATTCAGGTGCTCACTTACTTGATCACATCAAGAATCACACCGGGCAGAGTCTTGTTTCAGTCGAGTTTCAGCTGTTCAGAATCATTTGAAAAAAATATAAATACTTAATACTTTTTACACACAGAATTGCATGTGTCATTGTTAAAGAGGAAATTGGAGTTTTCTACTATAACATTGTTCCCCATCAGTAAAACCTGCCTGAAGAGCTTTGACATGTCACACATGCATGTTTGAGTATTTTGTTTTTGAGTATCTCTATCGGCCCTACTCCAACCATCCTTATGTAGCAGTACCAGCCTATACATGGCTCCACCCCAAGCCTGTGTCTTCAGTTTTCATAAATAAACAGAAGCAGGATACAGAATAATACACGACCACATCACAAACCTGATGCAATGTGCAGTAGTTTCATTAACTCCTCTTTAACGCAGGAGCCACATGGTCAAACTGGAGCTGATTTTGATTTTATTCTTTTGTCTGCTCTGAGTATTGCTGGCAGCAGGAGCTCAGTTGGTCGTGTTTGTCCACCGACCCAAAGGTTGGCAGTTGGAATCCCACTCTCGACATCATTGCTTGAGCGTCAGATCCAATGACCTACATCCTGATGGTGCTATTCCACCTCCCACCGATGAATGCTGCTGTTGTGTCCTTGAGCAAGACATTTGGGATTGGCTGCTATGGATATGCTGTGGCCAATAACCAATATTTGTTGACACCGATATTTAGCTTTAGAAAAGTGAATTTTTCACTTTTGCTCAACTAATAAAATGTATTTATCTGGAAAATAATTATATGAATATTTGGTACATGATTGTGTAACATACAGACGCTCTTCTGTTTCCATTTTGACTCATTTGTGTTTCAAAAAGGGGCTCAGAAAATGTCTGTGGCTCGTTGCTGTAAAGTGACCACCCCGGCTTGTCAGAGTCTGGTTCTGTCACATCTCAAATCTCGGAGCTCAGAGGTCAGAGGTCGGGTCTGGTCACGACTTGGATTGAGACACTGGGAATTCCAGGTGCCACAGTGGAGTGACAGTCACAGAAACTATCATTGTGTCCTTAGGCAAGACACTTCAACCACATTGCCTAGTATGAAAGTGGAGTGAGGGCGAGTGATAGTGGTGATGCAGATTGGCAGCCTCGCTTACATCAGTCTGCCCCAGGGCAGCTGTGGCTACAATAGTAGTTAACTCCACCATGTGGAGTGAATGAAGAATGATCTGTAGTGGTCTCCCATCCAAGTACTGACCAGGCCCGGCTCTGCAGAGCTTCTGAGATCTGATGGGATCAGACTTTGACAGACCGTACGCTCATGAAAAGGCCCAGAGCGACGTCACTGCAGTGGATTAGTTCTAAAGCTGTGGACACAGATGCAAAGGGCCGTTACTCTGTGTTTATATTACTCTGTGTTTATATTACTCTGTGTTTACATTACTCTGTGTTTACATTACTCTGTGTTTATATTACTCTGTGTTTATATTACTGTGTTTATTATACTCTGTGTTTATATTACTCTGTGTTTATATTACTCTGTGTTTATATTACTCTGTGTTTACATTACTCTGTGTTTACATTACTCTGTGTTTATATTACTGTGTTTATTATACTCTGTGTTTATATTACTCTGTGTTTATATTACTCTGTGTTTATATTACTCTGTGTTTACATTACTCTGTGTTTATTATACTCTGTGTTTATTATACTCTGTGTTTATAATAGTCTGTGTTTATATTACTCTGTGTTTATATTACTGTGTTTATTATACTCTGTGTTTATATTACTCTGTGTTTACATTACTCTGTGTTTATATTACTGTGTTTATTATACTCTGTGTTTATATTACTCTGTGTTTACATTACTCTGTGTTTATAATACTCTATGTTTATTATACTCTGTGTTTATATTACTGTGTTTATTATACTCTGTGTTTATAATACTCTGTGTTTATAATACTCTGTGTTTATTATACTCTGTGTTTATATTACTCTGTGTTTTATATACTCGTGTTTATAATACTCTGTGTTATATTATCTGTGTTTATATTACTGTGTTTATTATACTCTGTGTTTATAATACTGTGTTTATTATACTCTGTGTTTATAATACTCTGTGTTTATATTACTGTGTTTATAATACTCTGTGTTTATAATACTCTGTGTTTATTATACTCTGTGTTTATAATACTCTGTGTTTATTATACTCTGTGTTTATACTACTCTGTGTTTATATTACTGTGTTTATTATACTCTGTGTTTATAATACTCTGTGTTTATTATACTCTGTGTTTATTATACTCTGTGTTTATACTACTCTGTGTTTATTATACTCTGTGTTTATATTACTCTGTGTTTACATTACTCTGTGTTTATTATACTCTGTGTTTATATTACTCTGTGTTTATTATACTCTGTGTTTATATTACTCTGTGTTTACATTACTCTGTGTTTATTATACTCTGTGTTTATTATACTCTGTGTTTATTATACTCTGTGTTTATACTACTCTGTGTTTATATTACTCTGTTTATTATACTATGTGTTTATAATACTCTGTGTTTATTATACTCTGTGTTTATTATACTCTGTGTTTATATTACTCTGTGTTTACATTACTCTGTGTTTATTATACTCTGTGTTTATTATACTGTGTTTATATTACTCTGTGTTTATATACTCTGTGTTATATTACTCTGTGTTTATTATACTCTGTGTTTATTATACTCTGTGTTTATTATACTCTGTGTTTTATTATACTCTGTGTTTATTATACTCTGTGTTTATTATACTCTGTGTTTATATTACTCTGTGTTTACATTACTCTGTGTTTATTATACTCTGTGTTTATTATACTCTGTGTTTATATTACTCTGTGTTTATATTACTCTGTGTTTACATTACTCTGTGTTTATTATACTCTGTGTTTATTATACTCTGTGTTTATATTACTCTGTGTTTATATTACTCTGTGTTTACATTACTCTGTGTTTACATTACTCTGTGTTTATATTACTCTGTGTTTATATTACTGTGTTTATTATACTCTGTGTTATATTATCTGTGTTTATATTACTCTGTGTTTATATTACTCTGTGTTTTACATTACTCTGTGTTTATTATACTCTGTGTTTATATACTCTGTTTATAGTCTGTGTTTATACTACTCTGTGTTTATATTACTGTGTTTATTATACTCTGTGTTTATATTACTCTGTGTTTACATTACTCTGTGTTTATATTACTGTGTTTATTATACTCTGTGTTTATATTACTCTGTGTTTACATTACTCTGTGTTTATAATACTCTATGTTTATTATACTCTGTGTTTATATTACTGTGTTTATTATACTCTGTGTTTATAATACTCTGTGTTTATATTACTCTGTGTTTATAATACTCTGTGTTTATTATACTCTGTGTTTATAATACTCTGTGTTTATAATACTCTGTGTTTATTATACTCTGTGTTTATATTACTGTGTTTATTATACTCTGTGTTTATAATACTCTGTGTTTATTATACTCTGTGTTTATAATACTCTGTGTTTATAATACTCTGTGTTTATAATACTCTGTGTTTATTATACTCTGTGTTTATACTACTCTGTGTTTATATTACTGTGTTTATTATACTCTGTGTTTATAATACTCTGTGTTTATTATACTCTGTGTTTATTATACTCTGTGTTTATACTACTCTGTGTTTATATTACTGTGTTTATTATACTCTGTGTTTATAATACTCTGTGTTTATTATACTCTGTGTTTATTATACTCTGTGTTTATACTACTCTGTGTTTATTATACTCTGTGTTTATATTACTCTGTGTTTACTCTGTGTTTATTATACTCTGTGTTTATATTACTCTGTGTTTACATTACTCTGTGTTTATTACTCTGTGTTTATTATACTCTGTGTTTATTATACTCTGTGTTTATACTACTCTGTGTTTATATTACTCTGTTTATTATACTATGTGTTTATAATACTCTGTGTTTATTATACTCTGTGTTTATATTACTCTGTGTTTACATTACTCTGTGTTTATTATACTCTGTGTTTATATTACTCTGTGTTTATTATACTCTGTGTTTATATTACTCTGTGTTTATTATACTCTGTGTTTATTATACTCTGTGTTTATATTACTCTGTGTTTATTATACTCTGTGTTTATATTACTCTGTGTTTATTATACTCTGTGTTTATATTACTCTGTGTTTACATTACTCTGTGTTTATTATACTCTGTGTTTATTATTACTGTGTTTATATTACTCTGTGTTTATATACTCTGTGTTTACATTACTCTGTGTTTTATTATACTCTGTGTTTATTATACTCTGTGTTTATATTACTCTGTGTTTATTATACTCTGTGTTTATATACTCTGTGTTTATTATACTCTGTGTTTATATACTCTGTGTTTATTTTACTCTGTGTTTATTACTCTGTGTTATTATACTCTGTGTTTATATTACTCTGTGTTTATATTACTCTGTGTTTACATTACTCTGTGTTTATTATACTCTGTGTTTATTATACTCTGTGTTTATATTACTCTGTGTTTATATTACTCTGTGTTTACATTACTCTGTGTTTACATTACTCTGTGTTTATTATACTCTGTGTTTATTATACTCTGTGTTTATTATACTCTGTGTTCATATTACTCTGTGTTTATAATACTCTGTGTTTATTATACTCTGTGTTTATTATACTCTGTGTTTATTATACTCTGTGTTTATATTACTCTGTGTTTACATTACTCTGTGTTTATTATACTCTGTGTTTATTATACTCTGTGTTTATATTACTCTGTGTTTATATTACTCTGTGTTTACTGTTACTCTGTGTTTATTATACTCTGTGTTTATTATACTCTGTGTTTATATTACTCTGTGTTTATATTACTCTGTGTTTACATTACTCTGTGTTTACATTACTCTGTGTTTATTATACTCTGTGTTTATTATACTCTGTGTTCATATTACTCTGTGTTTATAATACTCTGTGGGTTATAATTTATAACCACCACATAAGTTTACATGCACAGAGAACCCAGGGTGGATCTTTGCCCCACAACCTGTCAGACCATTCTGTCCCACATGCAGAAGGTCAAAGGTCAAAGGTGCAACCAGGGTCTAAGACATTCAGGAGCATTCGGTCATTTGGCATTAGCACTAAAACCTTTCAGCTGTAAGTGTTAATAAAAAGGGCGATCATGTGTGTGAGTACATATTTCACATAGATGGAAGGAAGGGTGATAAAGTTTAAATGACAATAGATTTAAATTTATGAGTAAAAATGGAGAAAGACTTGAACAGAGTTGAACAATGAGACTGTGTTTTTTTGGGGCTTGCTCCTGGGAAGAACTTTTGCATTGTTAAAGGTTTTATATTAGGCAAATGTTACTCTTGGACTTTAAACCATGTTAAAATGTTGCTTCCTCCACAACATACCACTGACACAAAGCAGGACATTCACAGTAATTAACCATAGAAGTGATTTATTTCACCTCCTGCAGCTAAAATCTTACCCACTTTTGTTCCAGCTTCATGTATTGAACGATACGTCGCTGTAGTTATTATCTGAGCGCTCAGGGCAGTGACGCCCAAAGTGGAGGAGCTACAGCAGATCCCAGGATAAACATCAGGCATCTCAAAGTGCAGTACAGGAACTGCAAAGATACTGCAGGACCCTGAGGCGTCTATGGAGGAGCCGAGCTGGGAGAAAGGATGAGAGCAGCGCGAGGAGAGGTGGGGGTTCTGTGTGTGTGGAATGTGCACAGAGCCATGTGGAAATGACCTAAATGTGTCACATGGATGCAGAGATGCCAGGCGACCATAGCCTTGGTTTTACAGAATTGTTAAAGAGAATAGAGGATTTAAAGAAGATGCCTGGGGTTAGTTCTGGGGGTCCCTTTAATAAAGAAATAAACCTTAAACCTGTTCAACTCTGTCATCGCTTTTGGTGGTTTAGAGTTTCACCTTGAAACAAATGCATTTCTTTTGCCTTTTTAAGCCATCACCAAAGAGATTGTGTAGGCCTTTGAGTGCCTCAAAACCTCTGCACTCAAATCCAGAGTTTTAAATGACTGGACTTGGGTCAGATTTGGTTTGATTAGAGTGAGCAGATTTTCAAAATCAAAAACTGGGACACTCTCGGTTTGTGGTGGTTGGTAATAATAAAATAGTGAACTGAGTGTGTATTTAAGAACAAAAGTCAGTATTCTTTGTGTTTTGGTCGTTTTTAAGCAGCTTTTCTGGATTTTACCAAAAATAATTAACCGTTTATGTCTCTTTTTGCTGTTGGAATGGATCAGATTGATCAAAAATAGGGACACGTGGGACATTTCTTGTATAAAACTGTGACAAATCAATGATTTTGTATAAATCTACAGGGACAGGGGACACAGGCTCAAACCTGGGACTGTCTCGGGGAAATAGGGACGTCTGGTCACTGTTTGCTGTGACTCTTGGTATTTACTTTTATCCTGTGAAGAATGAAACTCTTCCATGTCCGTACAGCAGAGGGCAGCAGTGTGTGTGTGTGTGTGTGTGTGTGTGTGTGTGTGTGTGTGTGTGTGTGTGTGTGTGTGTGTGTGTGTGTGTGTGTGTGTGTGTGTGTGTGTGTGTGTGTGTGTGTGTGTGTGTGTGTGTGTGTGTGTGTGTGTGTGTGTGTGTGTGTGTGTGTGTGATCTTCGTCGGAGTCTTAAAGCGGACAGAGCGCACTGAAACATGGCACAAGTGAAGCTGAAGGAGGAGCCGGAGCCGGAGCCGTGGGAGCCGAACGACGTGAACCACAGGTGAGTTTAGAGTTTAGGGGCTGAACTTTCAAACCGTTCGTGACTTTTATTCATCAGATTCACTTAAATTTTTACTTGACGAGAAAACACAATAAGATAGCACTTTCTCCGCCTTTTGCAGTGATACAACAGAGGGGGGACGAGTGAGATCAGACGGGGGTCGCGATCATACTTCCACCTCCTGGGCTTTGTTTCTCGCTCTAAAATGATCGAAATCTGATCAAAATCTGATGAAAATCTTAAGTGTTTTTGTTGTTAGCCACAATAGCGCCAGCGCGGTCCGTCCCTTTTCTGTTCCGCGGAATCAGTGGCACAAATGAAACGTTCCGCGCTGTTCCATGTTTCATTACAGAAGAATAAATGTGCAAAGTCATATTTTGTATCATTATATTAGATCCTTAACTAAACTACTGCTTGTTATTTAAACAAAACATTTTCTTTTAACTTTAAACATAAAATCTATGTTTAAATATATATATTTAATTTGACATAATCAGCTGAAGTTATAGGTTTATTTTTAAGTACTGTGCATTTAAATCTGTATGCAAATGTGAGAAACAGAGCAATCTCCTGATGATACTAATATGAAGAAAAGTCAATGTTTGTGTACACACTGTAAATAATACAACTAAAGTGTTGAGGAAATGAAGATGTGTGTTCTGGATGTTCTTCTCATGTGTGGTGTGTTTTTTTTCACAGTGCGGTCGCTCAGAGCCCAGAAGACAAACACCAGGGTAAAACTTTATTTTGTACATTCTACACCCAAAATGTCACTGCTGCTGTTTAGAGTCTGAATAATGTGTAGGAGCTTTCATAACTATTTAGACTTTTACAGTCTTTGTGGCATTCAACTGTACTGGAATTCTAACATTGCTATAGATAAATACTTTATTATCCAAAGGAAATTTGTATTTCAGGCAGCATACAATACATAATACAATATCTAAAATAATACATGATACGAATGACTTCCAGAGTGTGTCATGGAGCACGACAGGGACAAGAGCCTGTCCACAAAGGTGTGCTCCTGTCCAGTGTTGGTGCTGTGGAGGGGGTGATGGATCCAGGCTGGAGGATGTGAGACATGTCCGGTTGGTAGTAACTTACCAGAAGACGTTTGGAAACGGATGAGGACTTCCGGTGTAGTTCCTGACACTGGGCATGTGATAAAACCGTGGATTCAACAGCAACTTCTTCACAACCTGCCAAAGCTTTCCACAGGGGGCGGGACTCTAACTGCAGCTTTAGAGGCCGTCCACACGACAGTGTTTTTTGGTCAAAACTGAGAAGTTTGTATTCGTTTTGGCCTTCCGTCCACACGGAGCTGGCGTTTCAGGAGCGTGAAAACTGAATTTTTTGAGAACAGGTTCCAGAGTGGAGAAATCCGAGAACATCGGCGTCGCGTTTTCATGTGGACGAGCAAACTGCAAATGCGTCACGATCCCATCATCACCAGGGTCCTCTAATGCAGCGAAGCATTAAACCGGAACTGGCCTCCACAGACCACAAGAGCGTTGCCAAAATGGGACAGGTGCAGCCCACGGAGCCGCTCCCATCACCCAGCAACCAAGACACGCTGCTAACGCCAATACTAACAACACGCACCACACACGGATCAACAAAGATTATGTTTACACTGAAACGAATCCGTGTATCACTGGATCAGAAATGATCTGCGTCCAGACACGTCATTTCTATGTTTGCAAGTCATCCCTGTCCACACATCTTTGAGCACATTTGTTTATGTTTTACAGAAACAAAACTTAAAAACACATGGCTCATTTACATAAACTAAGCTGTCAAAAAAGATCTCGCTATTTTGCGCTGATGTGGTTCAGCTTCTGTCGGACTAAAGGACACGACTCAGTGGATTATATAGGTTCTTTCTGACTTATGTTGTACTTTTGCAAAACAAAACAGCTGTATTTCTGGGATACATCTGAGAGTGTCACTCACAGGCAGCTGGTTAGAACTGTTGATCTGCCGAACATGACGGAACGCTACAATGACCTCTTTTTTAATTTCTATTAAAATATACAAATTATAATACACAAATTAATATACAGTTTATAAAAGGAAAAAAGAAAATACAGTGGCGTCTAGATGAAGAAAACTGGGCTATTATCTCAGTTTTCCCAGAAACTAGTCGGACTTAGTTGGAGTTCCTGTTGCCAAAGGAGATCATCATCTGCATGTTTCCAAATGTTTTCCGGTTTTGTGGCTTAAGCTTGAACAGAGCCCTTTGTAGCCACAGTTGCCCCTGGACAAACTGCCAGAAGTGAAAGTTCAATGTGATCAAGAGAGTGTGACATCATCACTTTCTCCAATCTGAAAACCACCAGTTCAAATGTACTGTTAAACACAGAAGTCATTTATTCAGCCCACCACAGCTCAAATCTGACAGAGTGCAGAAGAATGACAAAACTAGTGCAATGAAAAAGTGCCCACAGTAAACTTTATTGTTTGATATAGACAGTGTAATTCACCAGTCGTCTTGGAGAGGTTCAACTGGTGGTTTTCAGATTCTAGAACGAGATGATGTCATGCTCCTAGATTGACAAATGTTGAACCTCTTAGTGACTGGACTTTATAACTCCCTGTATTACAACACAAACCTTCACTCTAATAAGATTCATGTTGGTGGCACGGTGGCTTAGTGGTTAGCACTAATGCCTCACAGCAAGAAGGTTCTGGGTTCGATTCCCAAGTCGCCTGGGCCTTTCTGTGTGGAGTTTGCATGTTTCTCCTCGTGTCTGGATGGGTTTCCTCTGGGTGCTCCGGTTTCCCCATCAACCCAAAACATGCTCCAGGTCTCCAGAACAGTTGATAGTCAAGGTCAGTTAAATACAATCAATCAATGAACCTGGCCAAGGACGACAGGTGGAAATGTACAATACATCTCTCCTGTTAAGGTTAATGCAAAAATTGCATAAATAAAATAAAATGTTAGTTGCCCTGATATGTTTAAATTTGACTGGCCTATAAAATGTGATGCCTCTGAACACAGTAATGTAAAGAAGGTTTCAGCAGTGGTCTTCTGGACTCTGTTTTGGGCCCCATCCAGGCACTAGGACTGAAGCCAGTCCAGATGACCACTGGTCAAATCTTGTCCACATAAACTGATAGAATTACCGTGACCGGCGTAGGCGTCGCTGGTGAAGATTTTTCTTTGTGTGAAATGATTTGGATTATTTTGTGTTCTTGCAGGTGTCCAAACTCCAAGTGCTCTGTCTCTGCTCCACGTTAAAGAGGAACCAGAGGAGGTGACCATCAAGCAAGAGACACCTGAGTGTCCAATTCTCCGCGTGATCGTCAAGAGCGAAGACGAGGAAGAGGAGGAGGCGTGTCTGCCTGGAGCCGTGAAAGTAGAGAGCAGGGATGATGAGGAGACGGACGGAGCAGCAGGTTTAGAGGAGCGTTTAGACTCTGAGAGAGGTGAAAACTATGAAAGCTCTTCTGACACTGACGATTCTGAGGACTGGATGCCTGAAAGTACCACGGAGGCGGAGTGTAACGCCACTGAGGCCAGAGGCGGAGCTAAGCAGCACAAATGCTCTGAATGTGAGAAAGTGTTCCAGCACACGGCCAGTTTAAGGCGCCACTCGCTGCAGCACACAGGAGCTCGGCCGTTTAAATGCCCGTTCTGTCAGAAAGAATTCAAACAATCGGGTCATTTAAAAATCCACCTGCGAGTCCACACCGGTGAGAAACCTTTCAGCTGTTCCATATGCGGGAAGACGTTTGCAGAGAAGCGCACGCTCAAATCTCACATCAGAGTGCACACGGGAGAGAAACCTTACAGCTGTACAGTCTGTAACAAACGCTTCACCCAAAACACTCTCAAGATCCACATGAGGACGCACACTGGGGAGAGACCTTTCAGCTGTTCAGAGTGCGGAAAAACATTCACTCTGTTCAAAGTGCTACGGGAGCACCTCGTTGTTCACACCAAAGAGAAACCTTTCGTGTGTTCAGTTTGTGAGAAAACGTTCAGCAGACAAAGTCACCTCAGCTCACACATGTCGACGCACTCCGGGGACAGACCTTTCAGCTGCACAGTTTGTGAGAAATCTTTTTCAAAACAAAGTAACCTGAAGGGCCACATGTTGACTCACTCTGGAGAGAAACCATACAGCTGTTCAGTCTGTGAGAAAACATTTTCACGACAACCAAATCTCACCAGACACATGCTGGTGCACACAGGAGAGAGACCTTTCAGCTGTTCAGAGTGTGAAAAAACCTTTATGAGGCAAAGTCAGCTCAACAAGCATCTGATGACTCACAAAGCTAAGGGAGTGGGGGTCAAAGGTCAGAGTGTGGACCTTAAATGTGCTGAGGCTCAGGGGGTGGCATCATTTCTCCAGACGACTTAAATTAAACTTTTTATGTGTAATTCCTGTCATCATTATATCAGTTTGTATTTAGCGTTTTTAAAATGCACATCTTGAATATTGTGCTTCCCAGTCCCTCTTCATCAAGCCACAATACCCATTTTATATTTGATACATTTCTATTTCATTTTAAAAAAAATGTCATCTTGTGCTGTTAAAGTCACACTTCCAGAGTATTTGGTAATAAACCATCACATAAGTTCTTGTAAAAATGTCTATCTTCAAGCTAAAATAATATTTATGAACGGCTTTTCCTGACCAGAAGAAACGTGAGCCCTGAACAGATCAACTCTGTATTAAACTCTCCTTTTCTTCTCTTCCATTCTGTATTTGAACAGTTTTGCATCTCAGGTTGTGAACATGATTCCATTTGTAAATTAAACTGTGACTTGATCATTTTGACACGAGGTTGTGAGACAAATTTTGTTACCTGTTTTTCTATTGTAAGTAGATCATGATTTTACATTTTGATCTTTTGAAGTGAGAGTATTGATCTAAAATGGCTTCAGAATAGAAACATGTCCACTGACTTTCTGTTTAAACCTGAGGATGTGAAGGCGTTGCTCTTCAGTGATGATTCGCTGTAACAAGGAGCAGATTTTCATTTCATTGCGCCCCCTGCTGATTCATACATTCTATAAACACGTTTAATGCTTTACATTCACATGGGAATAGGAAAGAAAGTGCCATTAAATGCTCAAAAGCATGTTTTTTTTTTTCATGGTGTAGAGTTTGAGTGATTTCCTCAAATTCTTATCAAAACTGACTTTGAAATATTAATATTGTGACAGTACTGCTCACAGCTGGTGGTTTACAAGTCTGAACAATTATAGGAACTTTTAAAAACTAAACCTGGACTCAACCCAGACAAATGGACAGTGTTTGTGTGGCTTAAGAGGAAAAAGCCTAATATGAACACACGTCATAAAAAATCATGATCCAGGTCCAGGAGTAGTTTCAGACCCTGTGCTTTTAGTCTTACCATGACTCTTACTTAACAATATGAATTACCTTCCCATAAACCAAAGAAAGAGAGAGAGATCCTGAGGGAAATTCAAATTTTGCTGGAGCAAACTGTGTGTGTCAGAAACCTTTGTGTCTCAGTCAGAGGTTTCAGGTCAGGGGGTCAACACGTCTGTGTCAGGACAGTTTGAGGAGAGGAAGAGTGAAAAGTTCCTCCTCTGTGTCCAGCAACATCACAGCAGAGTCCAGGAGAACCAGGTGAACACAACAGAAAATCTGATTATAAATGGAGATTGAATCCACCAGTTTTATCAGAACCAGGTTTCAAAGATTCAAAATAATGACTCCAAACACTTTCTTGGAGATAAACAACACTGGGGAAACCTCAGATTCTAATCTCTGGGAAACACTTGAGGCAATGATGAAAGAGTCATTATGTCCTGATCTCTTCTGAAAGTGCAAAGAGAAAAGACAAACACACAAAAATTTAAGAAAACTTGAATTTCTTGGAAAACAAACACAAAAAACAAGACTATTACAACCTGATTACAATGATATATTAAATTCAATCTGAATATTATTCAGTTCTTGAAGGGAACTTTAGGGACCTTGTTCCACCAGAGGCAGACGCATTTGAAATGAAGAGATAAACCCCAGAGGCGACTCTCCAAAAAAAGCCATTCATAAAATCCTCCAACTCTGGAGAATTGAAAACAGATGCACAAGAAATGAATAATAATGTGGTAAAAGGTGTTTTTCAAAGTTTGATGCATCAAACTGCAAACCAACAGCAGAGGAGCAGAGCTCCCGTCACCCTGCTTCCTCACACTTCTTCTTTAAGTCATAAAATGTGTTGAGGGAAAAAAAGACATTCTAATCTGGTTCAGGGGAGTATCTTCAGATCAACAGGATGGCACCTGAAATGTTCTCCCACTTTATCCAGGCTCCAGGGATTCCCAGACTTCCCCCTCCCCAGACACTTCCATCAGCTCCTCTGGGGGACCCTGAGGTGTTCCCAGGCCGCCGACAGACAGAGTCCCTCCAGTGTGTCCTGGCTCTGACACTGGGAGGGCATCTGACACACAGGCCACAGAGAGAATTCCTCCAGCGTGTCCTGGCTCTTCCCTGGGGCCTCCTCCCCCTGGAACAGAAATGTCTGAACCAGACTGGTGACCCCAACTCCATCAGTCTGCCCCAGGGCGGCTGAAACTATAATAATAATGTCAAACTCTTTAGGACTGAAGCGCGTCATCAGAGCAGTGAAATAAACCAGCACCATTTGAGACAAATGTTCCACACTGCAGCTTTTATTCTGGAGTTCTGCAGTACATCACTCACTCTGCTTATTATTTTACACACTCAAACCTTGTAATTGTTCTGAGAAGTAAAATCTTTGCTTATTGATGATGAGACGTGGCCACTACTCAAGTTACATTTACTTCAGTAACTTGAATACTTTTCAGAGTACTTTTCTAGCAGCATACTTGAGTAGCATTTTACTAAAGTAACAATACTCTTACTTCATTAAGACTTACTTCAGTTAAGTCGTGCTTCCTCTTCCCACTGTGAGAGAGTCTGAAGTGACAAAAGTTTTGTGTGACAATCTGAAATGATTTGAACATTTTGTTTCTTGCAGTTTCTTCAGATCTGATTTAGTTTGTCTCATTTTTGCGCCTTAAAACCTAAAATTTTAGTAACAAATCTTTGAGTTGACCATTACCTTGTACTTCTATTTGAGCTATAATATTCTGAAGTAAAGTTAAGTGTTACTTGAGTACAATTTTTGGCTCCTCTACTCCCTGTGCTGATGACATGAGCAGAGAAGCATCGAGTGCAGTTCCCCTTTGCCATAAAAACAGTTGCTGATTGAGAAAGATTTGGTGTTATGGTTATATTTCTCTGAGTCTTTCCTCTGACCTCGGGGAGTTTGTGAGCGTCTTTCACGGTTTTCCTGAATCAAACTTTGAATGTTTCAGTGTTTGTTTTTTGTCTCTGTGAGTTTTCATGTGTTAAATCACTTTTCACTATAAAATATGTATCAAAAACTGAACAGCTGAAAGGTTTCTCTCCAGTGTGAGTCTTCGTGTGCTGCTTGAAAGCTGCTTTTTAAGTGAATGCATTTGAGCAGACTAGACACCTGAAAGGTCTCTCCCCTGTGTGGATTCTGGTGTGTGTCCTCAGACCTCCTTTATCTGTGAACTCTTGTGAATAGAAGTCACATTTAAAGGGCCTTTCGCCTGTGTGAGGGCACATGTGGATATGAACGTTGTGGCTGTGAGTGAAACTCTTGGAGCAGAACGGGCATCTGAACATTTTCTCATTCAAATACATCCTCAGATGTTCCTTCAGCTTTGACTTTTCCACAAACTCCTTCCCACAAATCATTGGCAAAAACTGAATACCTGAATGGTCTCTCTGCGGAGTGAGTGCTCATGTGAAGTTAGAGGTTAGTCTTTCCAGTAAAAACCTTTCCACAAATGGTGCATTTAAAGGGCTGCTCGCCTGTGTGTGAGTGCATGTGTTTATCCAGACTGTAGAGCTGTGTGTAAGTGTTCAAGCAGCCTGAACAGCTGAATGGTCTCTCTCCTGTGTGGGTTCATGTCTGCCCTGTCATGTGTAGTTTCAGAGTTCCTTGTTGTGTAAAGTTTTTGGCACAAATTGTACAGTTGAAGAGTTTTTCCCCTGTGTGGGTCATCATGTGTCGCTTTAGAGCCCCTCACTCTGTAAACTCCTTCACACAAACTGGACAACTGAATGGTCTCTCTCCTGTATGGATTCTAGTTTGTCGTTTTAGAGATCTCTTTGTGGTGAAATCCTTTGCACAAACTGAACACCTAAATGGTATTTGCGCTGTATCAATCCCTCCATGAATCGCTTGTAGCTTGTTCCTGTGAGTCAGAAAGTGTTTGTGCAGTAGGACTTTCAGGTGTCCAGTCTCCAGTGTCACAGGAAAACTGTCCTTCCCTCTCAGACTCAGAATGTCCCTCTAAACCTAGAGCTGTGATTCTCCCCTCTCCATCCTCTCTGCTCTCCTCATTCACAGCTCTTCTTCTCCTTCCTCTTCACTCATGATGATGATATGGAGGAATGGGTTTTCTCATTTTCTTTACTTTTGGATTTTCAGTTCCTCTGGTTTCTCTTTTATGAGGAGCACACTAGGCCCTCCCTCTCCTTGACTCTGGACACCTGCAGGGACAGAAACAGAGTCTCCTGATCCTCACTGTGCAATCAAAAGCCACAGACCATTTCCTAGTTTGCTTTGTTACTGTCACAATAACTGAAGCTTGTAATAGAATAAACTAACCTGCTCTTAAAAGGTCCTGTATTATGTCAAATGGATTCTTGTGAGCTTTAAGCCATGTTTTAATGTTGTTCCCTTCAAAACAGACCTGGAATTATGTTTTGTTTCATTCAGAAATGTTTGAAAAACCCTTTATTGGCTTATCTGTGTACATCTCCAAAGCTCAAAATGCTCTTGTGATGTCATGAAGTGGTAGTTTTCAAGTTAACAGCTCCTTTTACAGAGTGTTTTTAATATTGGATCCTGAATGTGCAGGGTTTGTGTGTTAAACGTGTGAGTGGAACTAAACACAACTCCAGGTCTGTTTGTGAAAAGGAAACGACATGAGATGAGATCAGAAAATAGAATCATATGGATCCTTTAAAGTCACTGAGTCTTAAAAATGTGAAAAACACAACTGGCTCATTTTAAAGTGTTTGCAGTGGTCCAGAGTTGTTCCTCTCTTACTTATGAACATGTTTAAGAATTTTCACTTAGTCCTCCCTTCACTCCCACTCAGTCACTCCCCCTTCAGAACACTATCACAAAACAATCAGCGAACTGTATCCCACGAATGAAACTCCTGCACATCACATCAGGTTTGTCAGTTTGTTGTGTACAGATTTGTGTCACGTTTTTGTGTATTTATGGAGAACTATCATGTGGGAGCATGTGTGATGTAGGCTTGTGGGTGGAGCCTTGTACTGAATTGTGCAGCTAAATGCAAAGAAAGTTTGAGTAGTGCGGGAAAGAGTTGGCTAAAATACTCACACGTGCATGGATGTGTGAGTAAACCTCTGTTTTTGATAATTCAGAATTGTAAATGGTCACATTTTTATGCAGCACTTTACATCAAGGAACCACTCAGCTGTTCACACACACACACTCAGAGATCAGTGTACAGACACTAGACACAAGGTGGATCAAGAGTTTTGTCTGAAAACACAACAACAGCACTCCACCAATGATGTTTATGTTGAGAAGAGGATTTGAACCATCAACCTTCAGATGAGTGGACAAACACTCGACCAACTGAGCTACAAACAGTGTAACAGTGTACAAAACAAATTTCATTACACCTCTTCCTTCAACGTGACCACAGTGTTTAATAATGAGTTTTTCTAAAGGACAGACTTGTAGTTCTTGTGTGAGTCCAGTTTTGGTTCTGGTTCTGGCCTCTCAAGTCCAGCTCCACACAGGTACACTTTACACACTTCAAACTCATTTAAACATCTGTTTTCAGCAACAATGATTCAGATTGGCTCCCAGTGAAGAGCCAATCTCCCAAATGACTCTGACTTCATCATGATTCTAAGAATTTCTAAGAAATTATAAAGGAATAAATGGTGAGGTCTTAGATTATTTTATTCAGATTTAATTGTCAAATGTATTTTAGAATCTGTTGTGACTCCTGACATGTTTGCTGGACACGTTTGTGCTGTAGTGTGAGGCTGTGGGCTTTAGGAGCTGCAGCTGAAGATTCGGCTCTGGGGATCGGCTCTTCCAATTCACTATAAAGAATCGGATTTGAGCTGAAAAGAAATTGAAACCGAATATGAAACTGAGAGCCCATCCCTCATATCGAGAGCACAGACCAGTTTTTCCTCTTGCTCTGTCCCAGCCCTGTGTGGACTCTGTGTCCTCCAGCCTGTGTGTGTCCCTGTGCAAGTGTGTGTCACACACAAACACACCCACACCCACACACACACACACACACTACAGGTGCATGGAGCTAAACCCGCCGCACAATGTTCCGCTCTGTCTAATGTTAATGTTAAGTTCTTATAATGTTTTTGTGATGAAATGTGTATTTTTGTGTGTTCACCTGCCCAGGGGCTGCACCTGCCCAGGGGCCGCAGATGGAAAGTGTCAGGAGCCAAATCTGGTACAAATCATCTTTTATTTTGTGTGCTGAATGAATGTGTGCATGGTCCCTGACGAATAAACGAACAATAAACTAAACTCCTAAAGAAATGTTCAGGATTTCATAGAACTCAGGGGTGTCCAAACTGTGGCCCGGGGACCACATGCAGCCCTCACACCAAGTTTCATTGACCCTCAGGCTTCCTGCTGAATTGGACCAAATGTTTGTTGTGACAAACATTGTGATTGTGCTTCATTTGAGGTGTGGAGTCAAACCTCGGCCGAACACTTCACTTCACTTCAGTCGTATTGTCTGGGCTTTTCACTGCGTCTCAGTTTCGTACGTGGCCCTTGATGAAAAAACTTTAGACCCTGATTTCATGTTTAACCTCACATGACATTGTGAGTGTGGCAAAGTATCACCAGGCCACGTTAGAGCTCTGATCTGTGGAGAGGCAAGCCTGCTCACAAGTAGATTAATGTTATATTGTGGAACATTATTGACAAAACAATAACATGGAGACAAGTAGGTGCAGTTTAACCCAGACAAAAGTCTGCCTTATTTATGAAACCTTAAATCTCCTCTGTTCTCTCATCTCTGTTCTACTGTTGTTTCCACATCACAAACAAACGTGGAGGTGTGTTTCATTCACATGTTTAACACTGAATCGTTTGGAGGATTTCAGATTTGGAATTTATAATCTCTACTGAACTAAACATCACAAGGTGGAACAGAGCGTTTGGAGTTTTGGAGATGTAGACAGACTCATAATAAAGAATTACTCAGACATGTGAATGAAACAAAACACAACTCCAGTGATGTTTTTGCAGCCCAGACAGTTGGAGCAACTGCATCCAAATCATGAAATCAGAAAAACACTGGACTGTTTCCTTAAAGCAACAGTGTGTGACTAAATGTAGGACTCATTTTGGATGGTTTATTGTATAGAAAAAACATGTGTCCTTACTGTGAGCAGGCTTGCTTTTCCACAAACCTGACTCCTGTTTGGCCTGGAGGAGGACTTCTGCCTGCCTGTTCACATGGAAAAGTTTTTCCTTTGGCTGTAATTATATATATACATATATAATACTATATATATATATATATATATATATATATATAGTATATGTATGTATATATATATATGTATTTATTTTGTATTACCATGGAATCATACAGGTGACATGCCACCTCCAGAAAGTTCCATACTGTGGCTTTAAATAAAGGCTGAAAACAAATGAACAATAGAAAAGCAGAATCTTAATTGTGACTGAATGGATGTTGATGTAGTTTATTTTTCAATCTCAACAAAGGCATTTACAGGCGAGGCACATTTCAGCACGATTCTGCTCACAAGAAATAATCCAAATACTGACAACAGAAAGACAAAGTCTCACACTGGCTTTTGCTGTCAATATTTCGACTATTTTAAAATTCCAATCAATATTTTGACTATTTCTTTAAAAAATGTCCCGTCTGATGTGTTTCTGTGGAGCTCAGCAGTGACCGATCCACCCCCAGAGTCCAGAAGTAAGTGTCCCATTCATTTTCCCATATTTAATTATTCAAGCATTTCACTGGTTAGACTCTGACACGTCTCTGAACTCTTTAATTTGAACTTTTTGAATGGAAAATGGTCTTCCAGACACGGAGTGAACTTGGAAGTGCAGTTGGGCAGGACTGTGGAGCTCCATTCACACAGAGACGAGACAATTTCTACAAAATGAGACATGAGATTGTGTCCATGAGAACAAGGCAAGGCAAGATTTGTCATATCAATCATTTGTAAAATGTAAGATTCAGTCACCGATTTTGGCCTCATCATTTCTGATTGATCTGATTTAATATTTATGTCATTTAACACTGCTGTTTGGAACTTGTGCAATTTGGTCTCGCGAGATCTTGTCCCATCCCCAATTCACACAAACCAAGTCAGACTGGAGCCATGTTCAAAACCAGACCAGGGTCAGTTCAGGAAAACAACTTAGTGACAGTGAGATTGAAAGGAGCAGTGTGTTGTGAAAACAGTTTCAGTGATGGACAATGATGCATCTAATGGGAAGAGGCCCCTGTGTTTAAACGAAACCTTGGATACGTCTGGAGAGCTCATGATCATGTGACCTCTACAGAGGCTGTGCGGACGACGTCACAACATTCATCATTTTAGCAGCAAGAGACAAAAATAACTGCTGTTAGCCAACAAGCTAACTGTGCACTACTGAAGCAAGAACAGAGAAACAAAAACAAACATTTGAAACAAAAAGTAGATTTGAGCGAAACAGCTCCACAGAGCAAAAAGAAAAGACTAACAGAACAAAGCTACAATTTATCAGTAGCTCTGCTACTGTCAGAATGATGACAGCCTCTTCAGTTTAAATTTGAGGAAGCCTCTGCCGTCCATAGACCTGACGTGTAAACGCGACGCTGCATTCTGAACACACCTGTGTGGGCGGGGCTAAAACAGACAAGTTTTATTGCACTCCTGGAATGTCTTACATAATCATAACCATCATCATATCACAGTAAGAGATGACAGTGGCCTGAGCGTTTATGACACTGGGGACAGCGTTGGTCCGGCCCCTGTGGTCTGCGCCTCACTCACGCTCTGGGACTCCATTTTGTGTAAGTGGACTGAACAGCTGAAGAGCCGGTCTCCTTTGTGGACTTTGTGGTGGATGATCAGAGCGCTCTTTGAGGAGAAGCTCTGAGCACAGATCCCACAGTGGAAGGGTTTGTCTGCAGCGTGATTGCTCTTGTGAACATTCAGACCATGCTCCGACTGAAACTCCTTCAAACAGATCAAACAGCTGAATGGTGCATCTCCTGTGTGGATTTTCATGTGTCTCTTTAATTTACATCTTGTTCTAAATGTTGTGGCACAAACTGAGCAGCTGAAAGGTTTCTCTCCGGTGTGAATCCGCATGTGTGTGTTAAACCAGCCCTCAGCCACAAAGTCCTTGTCACAGGCGCTGCAGTGAAACGGCCGCTCTCCTGTGTGACGGATGTTCATGTGGTATTCCAGGGATTTCTTTTCAGCAAAACCCTTTTCACAAACTGAACACTTTAGTCCTGAGTGAATCCTCATGTGTTTCCTCAGTTTGTTCTTGTCTGCATACCTCTTAGAACAGACAGAACAGCTGTAAGGTCTCTCTCCTGTGTGTGTTATCATATGTTGTTTAATGTAATTTTGTTTAAAACCTTTACCACAAACTGGACACTTGTAAGGTGTTTCTCCTGTATGAATCCTCATGTGAGTTTTTAGAGCTTTTTTTTCTTTAAAATCTTTGGCACAAACTGTACATTTGAATGGACGCTCCTCTGAATGGATTCTCACCTTGTGTCTTGAGAGATGACCACTTAAGGTAAAGGTCTTAGCACAAATTGGACAGCTGTAAGGTTTCTCCCCTGTGTGAATCCTCATGTGCAGTTTTAGAGTTTTCTTTTCAGTGAAAGCTTTTTCACAAACTGTACATTTGAAAGGTTTCTCTTCTTTGTGTGTGAGCAGGTGCATCTTTAGACTCTGAGCTTGTGTATAAGTCCTTGAACAAATGGAACAGCTGAAAGGTCTCTCTCCTGTGTGAACTCTCATGTGCAGCTTTTGTAGTTTCTCTGTTGAAAAGTGTTTCGCACAGACGGAGCATTTGAAGGGCTTCTCTCCTGTGTGGGTTCTGGCGTGTTCCAGTTGGCGAGTGATGGACAGAAAACTCTTGGTACAAAATGAACATTTGAAGGGTTTGTCCTCCAGGTGGTGCAGCTCGTGTCTCCTCAGTCTTTTGATGGTGGGAAAGCCCTTTCCACAGTGAGAGCACTTCAGGGGTCGTGCTTCAGTCCCAGAGCCCACTTTAGAGCGTCTGTGTGGGGAGTGGCTCTGAGCAGCGGGCCTCCAGTCTCCAGAGTCGGAGGATTTATCAGAGTCTTCCTCACTGCTCTCCTCTTGCTCACTGTCCTCACGACTCTCCTCCATCTTGGCTTCATGAAGGACAGACCTCACCTTTCTTTTAGCATTGTTTCCACCTTTCCCCTGGTCCTTCTGTGGAGTCCTGTTCAGTCTCTGTCCTCTGTGAGTTTTCAGGTGAAGCTGCAGGTAACACTTTTGAGTGAAGTCCTTTGTACAAACTGAACACCTGAATGGCCGCTCTCTTTTGTGACACTTCATGTGCAGTTGGAGGTAACAGTTCTGAGTAAAAGTCTTTGCACAAACTGTACACCTGAATGGTTGCACTTTCTTGTGAGTCCTCATGTGAAGTTGTACAGTTGTATTTGACTTTCTTTTTAAATTCTTTGCAGATACTGAACAGCTGAATGACCTCTTTATTTTGTGAATCCTCATGTGCAGTTGTAGATAACAGTTGTGTGTGAAATTCTTTGCACAAACAAAACAGCTGAATGGTCTCTCTGCTTGGTGAGTCTTCATGTGTCTTTTAAACATGCCCATGTGCTGAAACTGTTTCCCACATTCAGAGCATTTATGAGCTTTGGCTGGGCCTCCTGCTTCTCTCCCATTGTTTCTGTGAGCCAGCTCCTGCAGCTGTTCACTGGGCTCAGAATGTGCTTGTGCAGTGGGACTTTCAGATGTCCAGTCTTCAGAGTCGTCCGTGTCAGAGGAAAACTGCTGTTCCCTCTGTGAGCGCTGGCTCCTGTTCAGTCTCTGTCCTCTGTGACTCCTCAGGTGAAGATGTAGATAACACTTTTGAGTGAAGTCCTTGGTACAAACTGAGCACCTGAATGGTCTTTTGGTGCTGTGAGCCTTCATGTGTAGTTGTAGATAATACTTTCGTCTGAAATCCTTGGCACAAACTGTACACGTGAAAGCTGCAACTGCTGCGTCGCCGTCCTCTCTGCTCTCCTCTTTCACTGACGTCTCTTCTTTCTCACTCCTCACAGAGACAATCACTGGGAATGTTTGGATCCATTCCTGTTGGACTTTCTCTTCCTCTAGTTCTTCTTTCATCTGGAGCAGACACTGACCCTCAGCTTGGCTCTGGTCACCTGCAAAGACAGAAACAGATTAGACGGAGGATGGGAACTGCTGCACAGTTCACAAGGACAGTGCAAGAGCCAACAAAACACACACAAAAGAACATGTCAGGGCAGACATGTTCTCATTTCCCATTTAAGGACCCATATTACACTAGCTCTTCTTTCAAACAGAGACCACTTTGTGATGTCATGTGGTAATATAGGAAGTGTTCTACTGTGTTTCTAAGCTCCATTCATATTCACTAGAATCATTTGGATAATTTCATCCCTGGAATTGCCAATCTCCACTGAACTAAAGGTAAAAAGTAATTATTAACTTAAAAACTACTAATTCATGACATCACAGGGTGGAACAGAGCATTTTGAGATTTGGAGATGTAGACAGACTAATAATAAAAAGTTACTCAAACATGTGAATGAAACAAAACACAACTCCAGGGACATTTTGATGAGCATGGCCTAAAGATTAAAGAGCGTGACCAGTTTAGGGTGTCTACATTATTTTGGTGTGGGTACGTTTTATTCTTCAGTGGCATCAGGCTAGGGTTGCAAAAAGTATTAAAACCAGTTACTAATTAATACCAAAACTAGTACCAACACTAGATACTCATTTGGGCAGTCAAAAAGTCCAGTCAACAGGACATAAAAGAAGTTTAGCTGGAAGTCTTTAGAATGATGTTGAGTAGTATCAGAACAAGTAGAAGAGCACACAGACTAGTATACACACATGGACCAACATGAACCTACTGCACCACTGATCATTACACACATATAAGACACATGGGAATAGAAAAGAAAATACTGTGATTTCATGTTGAAAATCACATTCTACTGTCTATTTATTATCATGTCATCATGTCTATGCCTTAGTATCATGACAATACTACATATGACAGACCACGGTCTCAAGTCTGTTCAAACTGGAGCACAGAGAAGACCCACTCCAATAGTTCATCTAGATCCTGCATTAAAACCATAGTCGTGACTCTGGGCTCCAGCAGGAGGTCGGTCCCTGAGCTCGTCAAAGTGCAGATGTTCATGTGGCACTAACATGTTACAGATGGATTTGGTGCTCGGTCATGGAGAGACTTGTGAGAGGCCGTTACAATAGTCCAACCTACTGGAGACAAACATGGATAAGTCTCACCAAGTCTGCTTTAGACACTAAACCCTTGCTCTGTTTTTAGATGGTAAAAGGCTGCAGATGTTACTGATTTGATGTGGCTGTTAAAGTTCAAGTCTGAGTTCATTATTACACCAAGATTTCCTGCCTGATTTGAAGGTTTTAGAGAGAGACTGAAGGTGACTGCTGACACTGTCTCAAACACTACGACTTGTGTCTTGTCTGAGTTTAGCCGGAGAAAGTTGTTTTGCATCCACACATTGATCTGTAGGACACAGTGGCAGAGTGAGTCCACTGGTCCATAGTCTCCTGCTGCAGTGAGACATAGACATAGGGGCAGCATGTAGATATTGAACAAAAGGGGGCCCAAGATTGACCCCTGGGGCACCCCACAGGTCAGGGCCATGTGATCTGAGACACAGTTTCCAATTTCAACAAAGTACTTCCTGTTTTCTAGATAGGACTTGAACCAGTTTAGTGCAGTACCTCAGATCCCATCCCATCCCTCCCAGTCCTCTAGTCTCTGTAAGAGGATCCCATGATCAACAGTGTCAAAAGCAGCACTCAGATCTAACAGGATCAACACTTAGACTTTGCCTGCATCAGTGTTCAGGCCGATGTCATTTGTCACCTTGATAAGAGCAGTCTCAGTGCTGTGGTGGCTCTAAAACCTGACTGGAAAAATCTGCAGATTTGAGCTTGGTTGGAAATTGTTCAGTACCGTGGCTCTTCTTTAGGAGAGTCTTAATGAGCGCAGTTTTCAAAGCTCTTGGGAATGTTCCAGATTGAAGAATGTTAACTATGTGAGTGAGTGGTGAAAGCAAACTGTTTAGGACTTTAGAAATCCAGTGAGTAACACATAGAGGCAACATTTAGAGAGCTCACCGACGCACATGAACCTCAGCCAAAAAGTAACTGTGTGGTGAACTCCCGCTGAACACAAGGGCTGTGGTTGGTTAACCCACAAAGACTATACTGACAGTTGATTAAAAACGGCCTAGAACAGCTAAGGTTTGGCACACGTCATATATGAGCCTAATCTGATTGTTTATTGTCACAGGAAATAAATTTAAATAATAAATTCAATTAAATCATTCCCACGACCCTGAAGCGCTTCGCAGAAAGTTTGACCATGTTATAAGGCTGGGAGCTATGGGCCTGAGGTCAGAAGAGGGATGGATAATAATCTGAAATGGCCAGTTCATTGAGTGTCATTGAGTTGTAGTTGAGGAGAGACACAGATTTGACTCTCTGTGTTCTTACCTCTGCAGTCTGGGTCCTCTTTGAGTTCACGGACCACACTGAAAGACAAAGACAATTTCACAGGTTTAAAACTAATTTAAAGAGAAAACATTTAGAGATGAGACACCTTTTTCAGAAGATGACATGTTTAGTTTATTTATTTATTTAATGGGACAGGGACAGTGCACAGTCTACATGAATCTAAACAGGAGACATGTTGGCACCAGAGCTAATTTCCACCTGTAGTTCTTGGGCAGATTCTTTAATTGATTGTATTTAATTCACCTTAACTATCAGCTGATCTTCCTGGAGACCTGTAGTATGTTTTGGGTTGATGGGGGAAACTGGAGCACCCGGAGGAAACCCGTCCACACACGAGGAGATACAAACTGCAAACTCATGTTGACATGTTACGTAATGCTGAATTAGACATTAAATCTTCTGTCAAATTCAGAAAAAAATAAGTCCTCTGCTTCTCTCTCTCCCTTTCTGTCTCCCTCCCTCCTCTGCTCCCCCCTCTCTCTCCTCTGCTCCCCCCTCTCTCTCCTCTGCTCCCCCCTCTCTCTCTTTCCTCTGCTCCCCCTCTCTCTCTCTCCTCTGCTCCCCCCTCTCTCTCTCT